CTCTAAGCTAGCCACCTGTGGTGTTTAGAAATAATCCAAGCAAAAGAAACCAAGGGCAAAAGTCACACTCGTTTGGTCAAGATCCGTCGGTTTAATAGTAGCATCCATTATGATAATAATAATCGTTAGCAAAAACACTATCCCGTTCGAAATTGAAAGCCGAGATGGCTCAAGCCATCCGCCACAGAGGTAGCTGAGCCTAAAGAAAAGCACCAGATGGCGGACTGGAATAGTATTCATAAAATAAAGGAGCGACTGATAATCCGATTATACAGGAGGTTCGTCAACCTATTGTTCCCTTATCTGCGTCCTACATTTTCCATTCAAGCCTTCGAGGCCACCTTTGCTAGTAGTCTGTGTTAGGCCCGCAGCCGGCGATGATGCAAATTACGACGGCAGCATGCTGCTACTTTCGCCGATGACGAGACGGGCCTCTAGAATCCTTAGTGAGGAATTTTAGGCCTGTAGAGAAGTACAGATCTGAAAACGCCTAAAAACGATTTCAACCGCCTAGAGAACGTTACGCCGACACTAATTCTAGTATAACTTACTGATTCCTTCTCAACTTCAACAACCGCATCATCGTCCATGCAACACCAACCAACCAGTTAATTCCGAAGGCTGACAAATGAGCGGGCTCTTAGCAGTAGCCCTAAGTTGTAATAGGTAAGTTGAGGAAGGCAGAAAAGTACGCCCTACTCAGCACATGTTTATCGATAACAACAGAAAATATAGTCGAACGTCATGAAGTATCCTATGCCGCCACAACCACTGCCAGAACCACTTCACTTACTTCTTTAGACAAGCGAACAGTCTCGAGCTCACACCGGCTTGCACCCAGGTTTTCACCGGTTTAGGACAGTCCTTGCCCCGAACTCGCAGGCCCTCCAGCGCAAGTCGGTACTTTTTCACGGCATCTTTGGTCATCTTAGCGATTTCGGGCACTTCAACATAAAAGTTCTTCTGGAAGGGTGGATAGTGGATCCGACTGTGGTCCACCGCACCCAGTTTCTCCTTCTTCTGCAGTTGGGCCAGGGCAGTTGCGATTATGTCCTCTTCTTCCTCCTCTGATGAGTACTAACAGGGTAGAAGAAACGGTTCTTATAGAAGGATTCTTGTAAACTAGCAAACAAAAGCTACATTTGTGTTTTAAAATACAGGAGTTTGGGCCTCTTAACTGCGCTATTTATATGGCGTAAACAATTAGGCCTCAGAAACGTCAAGGGTCTCATCGAGGTAGCTCAGCGCATAACCCAAACTTTCTTCTCTGAGTCTGTGAACAGGTCAAATCACAGGTCATTAATCAAACGAAATTAACTGACACAAAAAGAAGAGAAAGAAGAAGAAAGAAGAGAAAGTACACATCGACTGGGATACTACAGCTAGCTTTTTAGATCATTAAGTCATAAACTGCCGATGTTCTGAGGCTGTCAAGCCTTAAGAGCCATTATGGCAGCCGATAGAGCACCGAGGCTACAAATCCCTCTGAACCAAGAAGTACGAAGCAGTCGAGTCAATTTGTTAATGTGTCGATAAATATGCAAGTACCTAATAGGGGACCTGAATTAACAGAACGCAAAGTGGGGCTACGAATCATTGCCCAAAATGTTAGGCAACGTCACAAGTTTGGGCCAAGCTTTAATTCATAACTAACTCCGACATAACTCGTGCCTTTCATCTTCAGAGATAGCAGAGAAAACAAAAAGGTGACATTTTTAGGAGGTACAAGCCAATCAATGATGTAAGTCTAGAGGTGATTGTACAGGGCCTTGTACACCGGCGCCAAATCGATTGATTGTGCCGTCATCAGTGGACCAGGACTCAACCAATTCTCGGCTTGCCTTTTTTCGGCCTTCGCCTTTACTCATGCAAACACCTGAAACTACAACCCTTGCATCCACTATTCAAAGGATAACTGGTGACGACTATCTGATACACCCGCACGAAACAGGAGTAGATGAGGGAGTGTCTACTTGTTTTACGGGTGCAATTTGTTCCCAGTCCTTAGAGGGCATGGTAACAGTCAGTAAATCTATACATAAAGCATGAGCAAATGAACACTAAATGATCAAACGACCGCAGCCAAAGAACTAACCTCAGGCATGTCGTTCTCCGCCTCAATGAGTTCGCCCTTTCCAATTTGTCTTGTCTTTGCAGGAGGGTTATTGGACGAGGGCTCGCCTGTATCGACAGATGCCTGCTCTGATTCTGGTTTAGGGGCGATGGAGTCGGCTTCTGGGGCAGTCGTTGTCGCAGCGGCTGGCTCAACAAGACGCTGGGCCTCCTTGTTTACTTCCTGTTTGATATAAGTACTATTAGTCAATGACAAAATACTAGTTCAAGTGCCTACAGAGGACCAGGACGTACGTTGCAAGAAAAGGTAGTTTTCTTAATAAGGCAAACGATAAGCGAGTAATGGCTACCGAGGAGGCAGTCAAGTCCTACACGCCGGCAACTCTAGTGTAAGGTATCCAAGCTGGTTTATTAAAAACGATCTCACGCATTAGATATGACAGGTAGCGCTCAGGGCTCAATGGCGAAAATGGCGGGATGTTGCGTCGGCACTGCATACACGACAAAACTGTATGCCCTCTCGCCCTGTTGCAAACTAAAGATTTGATTACATAGGAATAACGCTGAGTGTGTGTGCTGAATTTCTACGACTCCTTCTGATCAACGTAAGCCGATTACTGTCGACGCTATCCCCCATCGTGAACTCTATTGAAGCTGCCCACAAGAACCTTATTAAATATTCGACAAATGTTTGAAACCTGGAGGTCTACTGTAAATGAGACTAACCGATGAGCAGAAGTGGACCCTGCGTGTTACGTGAAGTTGTGCACTTTGAACACGCGAGCTCTCCCAACAATACCGGTGTGAACATTAACTGAAGGTAACAGGTCTTGGAAGCAGGGAATTGCTCAAACATTCAAGGCGGGGCGTGCCTGGGCTCGCAGATCGACTTGCTTTTAAGTGAATACTGGAAAGAAAAGTTAGTCATGCATCCATTTTGGGACGCTTACGGCTTCGGTTGCACTAGACGGGCAAACAGACAGGAACGTCTGGGTCACCCATAACTCCTTTTTACATGGCAAATCTACGTAAGCCTTATAGGGCTGGGGACGTCCGATGTGTAGTAGTTGCAGGCTTTCAGAAAGATACAGGCGAGTTGTGGCTGACATATCTACCAGATTATCAGGGAAGGGGAAGGGGGAATGGCAAATTTGAATAATTCCTTTGACCCAATTGTGAAAAAACTCCCGGCCTCGGTGGGAGTCGAACCCACACGACAGGGGAAGGCTTTTACGCAGCTAACGCTCTACCACTAAGCTACGAGGCTCACCATGAGCCGTGAATCTAATAACACCTGGGTCGATTTACCCACCCAACCTACTGAGCGTATACAATCCACCATGGCAGATATAGCAAGCTGACTGCCCAGACAGGATCTACCAGAAGAGAACTTGTACAAAGTTAACACGGCACCAGAATTGGAAGCCAATCGAAGGCGGCACTGTAATCTGGTAGTTTGTTAGTCGCTCTTGATTGTAGTCATCACTACCTTTTCAGGTAGCACTGACTTATGAAGCATCTGCCCCCCTTCCCACACACTCACGGTGTTTCAGTGGCAAAGAAGATCAGGACAACAGCAGATGGGTGTGGGCTCCGACTAGCCAGACGTTCGTTCGCTTTTAAGCGTGCTACACACCTGCTCGTCTCTCAATACAAAAGAATTAGTTTCTTAGACCTAAAAATAGGGACACTTTCCAAATTACTACAATAAAGAGGCATCACAACTTGACGCACAGCACCAGAACAGTAGACAACGATTAAAATCACGAATTTCAGCGCGGTGTAAGACCATAAAGGTTAGTCGTAGTCGTTACTGCGGAAGAAGGTCGCTCAGGATCAGCTCAGCTCTTTCCCTTTCTTCCCTCCTACTCATATACATACATTTTTAATGAGGACAGCTAGTAACAGGCGAGCACTGAAACCCGGCTGAATTTGATTTTTATTTGGCTGGAGCTGAAAATTCGACTCAGTCCTTTACTCGGTAAGTGTCTATGATGTCAAGAGCGAGACAGTGCTTCCAGGAATCTTTTGGTAGCTGTGTTCAGGGGTCGGATGGCAAAGAAAGAAATAGCTTTAGAGAAAGACAATACCAGAACGCTAACTTCTGGCTTACTTGCTATCGGCAGTCAGTCGTAGCCCAACTCATGGCCAGTAAGATCCGGAGACTTTGATCAACGGTAGCTTGATCATCGAACTAAAAGATCGCTTACGTGAGCGCTATCGACCGCGGCCGTAATTATTAGGCGGTTAAGATTGCCTACCAAATCAAGTAACCATAACGACAAAATCAAATTTGGAGGCTAAAGTAAGTTCACATACTTGCATATAGGCGTCCAGAGGATCAATTTCATCTTCCTCTTCCTTCTGTGC